CGGAATGGACAACTCGTCTTGACCTTTCAAAAGCGGGGGAGCGTGATGTGGACGTTTGGGTCCAGGTTCACTGTCAGATGATCCGAGTGAACTTCTCGTCTTCCGGATTCCGGACACTTTGACATGCAAAGCAAACTCGCGTCCCAACAGGTTCGTCTCATATTCCGTCATCAACAAGTCTCCGTCCTGATCTTCCGCATGATATGCCAGATACACTGGTCGGTCCGAGCTACTACCAGCTGGAGCAGACAAAGCCTCGACTTCTTGAGTCGTCAATAGTCGACACTGCGCATCCACCGCCAACTGTCTCCACTCGATCAACTCCACAGCGAGAAGCCGCTGCATGTCAGCTGTCACGATTCGAACCAACTCCTCGTGAATTCCAGACACACGCGTCCCAGACCTCCGGAATCAAGTTATATATTCGAAACCACTTTCACATGCCAGTATCTGGAGGATCGAAACGCACTCCTTCGGCGCGAGCAGCGTAGCGGGAATCAGCGAGGCTGCCAAAGCTCTCGCCATCCCGAACATACTCCTTCGAAGTCGTAGTTCTGAAATCCAGGCGCCAGCTTGGGTCGCAGTTGTCATCCGATCGAGCAGATACTTTGGCGTCGCCACGACTGCCGCGTAATAGAACTGAGAGTCCGGACACGCGCCGGGCCACGTGTACTGGACACGCGGGGGCATGGTATGTCCGGACGCAGCGCATTTTTAACGACGGACTTGTGCAGCCATGTACGCTCTGGCTTGGTCTTCAGTCACTTGAATCTTCGATGTCCCTGGCCGCACTTCCAGACGTCGTTCTGAATATTGCCTCTGAACGGCATTTTGTGGAGTCGGTGCAGGCTTGGATTCCAGACTCGACCCTGCGGGCACTGGACTCGGCGAACACGCATCCGCGTCCTGCAGCGCAACACCTTCACGAACTGTCAACAACGGTCGTTCCGACTTGACCACTGGTGCTTCATCCGGAACCCCAACTTCTTCTTCCTGCTGAGGAGAGTTCGAAACTTGATCCTCAGCCGGGGGCTCAACCTTGACGGCGCCTCTCACAGACGCCTGTATGGACTCATCCAAACCGGATTCGTCCTCACCGTCCGAACTCCTTTCCGAGCCGGACGCCTCGAAGTCTTCTTCGTACTCAGAAGCAGACTCGGACTCGCCGTCCGAAGTCGCTAGGTGCACGTCTTGAACAGCACATCCAGAATCCACCTCGTCTTGAGCCAAAGCTTCCTTCGCCTCCTGGGCCGCCTTACGTTTCACAGCGTTAGCTTTCCGGTTGGCAACCTGGACTTCTTCCAATGTCCGCTGCTTCTCCGGATGTAGACCCTTCACTCCACGCAACGTCCGGACAGCCGAACCGCCTTCCGAACCTTCGCGTCCCTCTTGACTTGTGCCTTCACTTCTAGCCATATCAACTACTGCGGTTAGAAGTTAGTTAGCACCCAATACCTTAGGACCTAATCAATACAATAAACCAAATCGGTGTGATCCTTAGCACCGTCCAAATCCGGGCACGTGCACCAGCTTAGGCGAGGCGGGTGAACGCCTTTTACCGTCCAGGGGTGTATAGCGCGCCAGTTAGGTGCGGCCCCACAGAATCAGTCTGAACGATCAAAAGCGTTCGGACTTCGTATGGAATCACGAAGAGTCGTCGTTCGGACTGAGGAGGGCCTTCTTGGCGTGTGACATTGTGTAATTCCTATTGGGCCGTTTAGAGATTCGGACCATCTAGGATCTCCACAGGGTGAGTTGTTCTGTAATACAAATCCTATACAATAATACAGAGTGCGTTCGAACTTCCAAACGAAGACGCAGGGGGTTTGTCAGTACAGCCTGAGGTTAGACTACGAGCAAAAGCCTTCCCAGAAAAACAATAATACAGAGAGTTATGCATAAATATACAGCCGCCACTTATTCTTTTGGAATTTCCAACACCACAACTGGTGCCGCGACCCGGGAACAGATTGTGACCATTTGTGAATTGTTTATATTGCCACTCAGTTAACGGGCTACCACGAAAAAGAAGAAGAAAAAAAAAAACCAAGAAACAATGGCGAAAGGATCCAAGGCGGTGCCAGCTACTCCAGCCAAGTCCGGCGGAGCGCACGGCGAGAGTTCAAGCTCGAACAGTACGGCTGCTCGCATGGCAGCTATCACTGAACCCTCGGTGAGTTTCAAAGACGAAGCGGACGATCCTGATGCCCATGATGATGACTATGACGACTATGAAGACAAGACGCCGGCTCCAGGGCCAGACGCAGCTACCCCGGAGACTGCGACTCTGTCGTCAAGTCTAAGTGGAGCGACGAGATTTCTTTCGAGAAATCTCGTCGCTGAGCTGAATGAAGCAGACCCGGAACCGGACTGCGATGATTTTGACGATGGCACCGAGGATCCCAAAGCCTCGGTGACAAATGCTAACCGCTCGGCATTGCTGTGTGCTCCTCGTCCGCCCATCAATGGAGATACTCCTGCGGCCAAGCGAGATTTGGAGCGCTTGTTGGTGCTGATGAAGAAGGACGAGTGCATGCAGCTGTTCTCACCAACGCAGAAGCGACACCTGCCCTCGCGAGCGAGTTGCAATGGCTAGTGAATTCCATCAGCACGAGTCAGGTCGCTGAAGACACGGTGTCTCTACTCCCTTGGGCGGTGGGTCTCTTCGCCAGTCTCACTTGGACTCCGAACGAGGTACTGGTCAACCTCGTCGGCTCCTCTCTCTCTCAATAACCACAAATTCGCGCACCACTTCCAAAAAGAAACTAGTTCCAGTCAGAAGAACAATACAGAATCAAAGCAATATACAGTCGCTTTCACACAACAGTCTATCAATCAAGTCCCAAGGGTGACTACCAATAACCTCGTAGAACAGCAGTTAATATGAAATGGATGTCTGGACGACAACCAACTAGAATATGAAATAGGCAGATCAGCCAGAGCGCGCGTCGCTCGATCACCACCGAATGTAACTTGACCTTCTTGAGAGTTCCACGACAGGATCCACGCGCCTTGCCGTGTCCAAACGCGTCGACGTCGCAGCGGGCCGAGCTTCCAAATGGGTTTCCCACCGGCAGGCTTATCCTTGGGCTGCAGCACGTGTCGTCAGGGCTTATATAATGTTCCCAAGCAGCACTTGTGTCTTAGCTGGCAGATTGAACTCTCTGTTAATATAGGTCTCTGAAAGACGTCTGCTAGACGTCTAGTCAACATGTACGTACAAATCACTAGGTTTCACTATAGGTCGGTCAGCATAATCATCGGAAAATCCAGCGAGCGTCGAGCGCCCTCCCGTGCCGAACATATCCGGTCGGTTCGCTTGGTCGGTCGTTAACATCTTGCCCGGGGTATACTTCAACTGTGGAAGGTCGGATTCTGGGTACAAAATCAGGGCTGGCATTCGGACTGTTCAAAGTCGAAACGAAGTCATTCCGACTCGGACCTCTTCGTTCAGAAAGTCTTCGTTCAGGGTCATCCTCGGACTTCACTTGAACTCAGTATGTCGCGCCAGGCTATCATGTGTCAGAACGACGGGCGGGTCTCAGACTTCACAATCACTCTCGGTATTCCACAGGGGCCACAGGCGACTTGCTCCATCACCAACAAAACTTTCTGACCAATCATCCACGAAAGTCTCCGAAAGATGCAGCACAGGCGCTGGTCCTTTTGGGAACCAGCCGACACGTGTCACTTGGCATTTCCGGACAGCGGGACAACAGAAAGTTGACGTTCGCCGTCGGCTCTTCGATCAACCTCGAAGCGATCGCAATTTCGATCTCACGGAACCAGCGGTTCGGTGGGAGACGATCTTGGCCGACGCCGGAATACGTGGACGTCTCCATCTTGACCGCGTCGTGCCGCGAGGAATGCGAGGGAGTCTGTACTCGCCGTTTCGCTTCGGCAAGCTCAGCCAAAGCAGAGATTCGTAGGCGGTGCTAGCATCCTTCTTGCGTTCGACGTACTCTTGTAGCCAACCCGAATTGTTCTCGCGCACCGCCATGGAGCGTGCTGTCAGCGGGAAGCAGTCTCGCCGGATGTCCTTCATGTAGGTGATTAACTCAATACCGAACGGCACGCTCTCGCCCCCCCCGGTGCTCTTGAGAGCGTCTTCTCGCTTCCTTCAAATGCAAATATGTCCTCCTTCTGCTTGCGCCAGTCGTTGATTGTCCACCGGGGGACACCTTGCGTGCGCGCTGTCTCACACTCACTCATGGCTTCAGACGCTCGCAATACCTCTCTCTTTTGCTTAAAGGTGTAGTGCTTGCGGCGCTTCTTCCCGCGAGTTGTCACAGCTGAAATCAGCGATTCGACAGCAGCGAACTCAGCATGCTGAAGGGCAGCGTCCTCCGCTCCAGTGTTGTTCTCTTCGGCGTCATCCATGGCTGCCTCCATGTTACCGACTGATTGGCTAGTAATTAGGCAGCTGGGAGCCAAATATGATTCGCTACAATGAATAAAGGCTTATATTTGATTGGCTGACCTTGCACTATCAGTAGTACGTTCTGTGTCCGCTTGGGGATTTGACTGGAAGTAACGTGGCGGCAGTTGCCTTCTGTCCGTCGCTGTACGACGTTCCTTGTGAAGGCTGATGAGGAAAACAGGAGTCGAAGCCGGGATTAAACCGGTGACTTTTACTCGCGAACTCATTGAGTAACCACTAGGATACTTATTGAGTGAGTGAGTGGTTTGCGACTGAGTGACCATGCGAGTCGCATTGAAAGTGTCCAAGCGCTGAGATACGTTCGTCGCCATCGGACCACTCGTGCGACCACGAGCACGACCCACGCCCGCGATTCGTCGGCACGCCACCATCGACAAGGTGACAAGAAGTTGAGCAAACTCGCAAAGATGCAGTTGTGGAAAAGGTGTCACCCGTGAGAGGCGAACTCACGCGTGCTTCGCATAAGTACCCCATGTTGCGAGGCAGTTTCACTCTCATTTCACTGCCGGCAGCGACGCTTGTCCATGTACCAGTATGAACATTCGAGCTGATGCCTCCCGCAGGGGTGATCTTGGCTGGTGCTGAGTGCAGACTTCAAATCTGTAGGCCATTCGATTGGCAGGAGTTCGATTCTCCCTCGCCTGCGCCTTTTTCCTAAAACATCTACGAATTGTATTGCCACGATTCAAAAGGTGAAACGGGCAACCAGGAACTTCTTGACAACCTTCGCAGGCGAAACAAATCATGTACAGGTTGTCCAAACCGAACTCTGTGGTGCGCGTTTCTGCTATGATAAGCGTTCGTGTAATCAAAAGCTGCGTCCAAGCTGTCCGTTTTGGCGGGATTCCATTGGCCAGTCACCACGTCACTTTGACCAACAACACAGTTGTCAAACGACTCGTGAGCGGCTAGCAAGTCCCCCCTCGCCCTCCACTAGTCCAGATGCCGCGCCCGCTCCAACCCGAGCAAATGCTGACGCCCGTGTCGTCCGACATCGAAATCATTGACGCCATCGCACCGCTGCCCATCACGTAAATCGCCCATTCCGCCGGACGTACACTGATATGAACTACTCTTCCTTGGGATGCACGGCGAATCCACTATAACGAACGCGCGGGGAGTGCGTTGATCATGCCTGACCGTCAAGATTCTTTCGGGCATAACGGAGACAAGGGGACTCGGTATTAACGGAAACTGTGTGCATTCGCGTTGTTATTGCTGTTACAGCTACCCGAAGAGGTGATACCGTACAGCTTGACCAAGGCCAAGATCGCGCTGGACGTGCGCGAGCGCCTCAAAGACTGACCAACGGCAACTACGTCGTGGTCACGGGCATCACCCCTACGCTGCTGGGTGAGGGCAAGAACACCACCATGGTTGGGTACATTGGGAAGCTTTGACTGCAGAGCATGGCGGAACTCGAGGAGCTAACGGTGTGCGCACGCTTTTGTTGCCAGACTGTGCCAGACACTGTGTGCTCACCGAAGTGTTCGCTTGCATCCGCCAGTCCTCACAGGGCCCGGCGTTCGGCGTCAAGGGAAGCGCAGCGGTTGGAGGCTATTCGCAGGTCATCCCCATGGTCGAGTTCAATCTGTACGTGGGAAGTGTGATGTGTATTGTGTGAACGGGGTAGAGTGCGCTTTGTCGGGTTTTGTTGAATACAGCCGCCTGACGGAGACATCTACGCTATCACTGCTGCCAACAATTTGGTGAGTAGTTCTGAGTCGTTGCGTTATTTATGCATCGACTGACGTGGCTCTGGTGGCCGTTTGTCTAGTTGGCTGCAGTCATTGACACTCGCATGCTCCACGAGAACGCACAGAGCGACAAGACGCTGTTTCGTTGGCCCGACGGTCAAGGACGGACCCCGCAAGTTCTCGCGGGTCATGAGCAAGCGTCTACAGAAGCTGGGTATCACTAAGGTGTCGCCCAACGACCTCACGGACGAGGAGATTCATAAGTTCGTGCGTCTTGACATCGATCCAGACACGATCACTTGGCGACGCGTGCTCGACACATGCGACCGTGCGTCAGGTGGTCGTGAGTGCTGGTCCCGTCGAGAAGAGCCAGACTCGCAAGACTGGCTTCGACATCGTGGTGGCTAGCGAGATCATGACTATCGACGAACCTGGCGGACGTGCGCGAGTGTCTGGGATGTATTGCCATTGGCACGAGACGCAGTGGCGAGCCCGTGATGACTGGCGACCGGGATGTTGGTGGCTGTGCTGATGAAGGATGATACCCTGTCCACGCTCATGCGGGCGGTGGAAGGAACTTCCGTCTTCGTGCACGCTGGCCCGTTCGCCAACATCGCTCACGGCAACCCGTCCGCAATTGCCGACCAGATTGATCTTAAGCTCACTGGCGTGAGACATTTTTATTTTTATCAACTGCGGAACAGACCAACTATAGGAGCAACGTTTGACGGACGAACTAGGATATATATTGGTAAATTGGATAATTCATATATTCTAGTTGTTCCGAAAGTTGTTCCGTCGCGGGACATGTGTACCGTATAAATTGATACGGGTATTCAAAACTAATATTTGCAAAATGGGTCGCCGCTCCAAGACCTGGTCGAAGTGCAGGATGCCCTTTTCGACACATGGAAACACGAAGCGCCGCCTAAAGTAGGTGTTAGCGTGCGGTGCTCAGTATGCCAAGCAGCGCAAGGAGCTAGCAAAGAAAAAGAAGGTCTATCGTAACCGCTACAACTATCTGAAACGTCTCGGCCGTCTGAACGAGTATCAAGAGCCACCCCAACCATTCGACCTCATTTGGCGCGGACGGCCCCGCCTCGCTGATCGATATGTCTCCCGGGAAGTGCGACTGTCACTGCCTCACCGGCTCACCGGCTGTGCTGACGATTGTTTGTCCTATCACTGAAGGCCCATCGCACAACCGAAGGCAGAATCATCATGCAGCTACAGCGGCAAACCGGGTTGAGTCACCCACAACGACAAGATCAGCGGAGCCATACTCAGTAGCCGCTTTGACACCATTATTCATCCCGTATACTTGGCGAGGTTTACGGTGATGGACGAGAGGTAAGCGTTCGCAGCGATCACTATTTCCACTCCGGTAACTTCCACAACACCTCCGAGCAACTTCCATATCCACCATACTTCTCTGTTTTCGCTGATCCATCAAAAGACATCACGAACCCTCGATGGTCTCTTGGTAGCCTCGCGTAGAGCAGTAAGGGGTCCATTCGAATAATTGGAGACCCTTTTGTTGGCTGTGTTAGCGGCGTAAGTGATTTTTCCAGGTTAACAAAATTCGTAATGCTAGCCTGGAGTAGCTGTGCAAATGCCACATCTGCTTCCTTCACTCACTTGACGATTAGATGCCATGGTGATAGTAATACAGCAAATTGGACTGTTCTCGACGCTGGAGTGGGTACACAAGTCAAAACAGCGATTTTGACTTGTGTACCCACTCCAGCGTCGAAAAACTGGTATAGACATGTATCAGCCAGCTATGTGTAGCAAGTCTTCAGCAATAGCAATTGAGCCAATACTTCCTTTTCAGCAGGATGATAGTTCATTTCAGCGTCCTTGGGCACTCTGCCGAGGAATCGAGTGGGGCACATCTTGCCATCATGTTCTTGCATCGATGTGGTAATCAATGCCCATTCGTTCGCAAACAGCATAACGTGAACATTTCGGGACGATCGAAGTGGTTTAGTATCGGAGCTTCTGCAACCTTCGTTTGTAGCGTAGCGAACGCGCGGCGGGCTACAGCAAGGTCGCCTCCTGTTCCAAAGTCTTCTTCCTTGAGCTGCTACAAAGCTGCTCCATAGACCGCGAAGTCTTGAATGAATCGGCTATAGTAATTCAGTGCTCCAAGGAACGATTGCATCCCACGTTTTGACGATGGGAACGAAAGCTCGGTGATAGCGTGAAGCTTCTTCGTATCCGCTCTTATGCCGGCTGGGGAAATTTCATGAGACAGGAACCCAACCTTCGGTTGAACAAATATGCTTTTGGTGAAACTAATGCTGATCCGACATTGAGCAAATCGTGCCAACAATCGGTCCAGAGTGGCTAAATATGTGCTGAAAGTCTCGCCACCGAAGCAAATATCATCCACGAATGACCGTCTACCGAAAATAGGCACCAGCGACGATTCATCAGCTTCTCCAGCTGTGAACATGTTTGCAACAGAGCTATTGACCAGTTGTAATACCGGATCAGTGTCCACCGAGGTTTCCTGGTCTGTTTCGAACTTAGTTTGAACTGATTTCTCGTTGCTGCCTTGGCGAAGTCGTCTAGCTTTGTCTTCAGCCGTTCGCATCAGTTCTGCGAAGTGCACCCAGCCATCTTTCGGCTGAACGACGCCCCACAGCGCGTTGTCAATCATACGCTGGTATATCATAGGTGCATTCTTCAGCCCAAAAGGCATGCGCAACCATTCGAAATGCCCCAATGCACACACAAATGCTGATATCTTCCGTGCTCTGAGGGTCATCATAACGGCCTAAAAACCACTTGCAGCGTCCAAAGAACAAACCACATGTAGCTCTCGAGATCTGTCAACAAATCGTCGACTAGCGGCATGGCATATTCCATGATTGCTGTAATCGCATTCACCATCTTGTAATCAATGCAAAGTCGGATATCTTGTCCGTTCTTTTTCAGCACAATCACAATGCCCATGGACTGTCAGAGAACGAAATCAGACCGGCTCTTAGCAAACCCTTCAACAATTCGTAAAGCTTGTCGAGATGACGCAGAGGTAGTCTCTGTGCTCGCTGTTTGATAGGTGCGTGTCCTTGGACGTCAATGTCGCAAACCACATATTAGCGGGGGGGGGGGGGGTTGGGGAATACCA